AGGGCTCGGGGCCGCCGGCGCCAGCCGCCCCGGCCCTCACGTGCCCGCCTCGGCAGGTGGAGAGCTCGCAGGCCTTCACCTGGCAGTCCCAGCTGCGCCATCGCTGGGACGAGGAGAAGAGGCATTGCTTCGCCAACATCTGCGACGCCCAGATCCAGTACTCCTACGAGTACCTGGGCAACACGCCGCGGCTGGTCATCACCCCGCTCACGGACAGGTGACCGGGCGCGGGGCCGCCAGGCCGGGGCCAGCTGCCGAGGCGGGAAGAGCCGGCGCTTGGGCTGGGGCGTCCTTGGGGCCCGAGTCTGTGCCCTGGCTGCGTGGTCTTGGGGAGCTGGCCTCCTCTCTCAGAGGGGAGGGCCTGCAAAGTGGGGGTGCCTGACACGGGCCCCTGCAGGTGCTACATCACCCTGACCCAGTCCCTCCACCTGATCATGGGCGGAGCCCCCGCTGGCCCCGCCGGGACCGGCAAGACGGAGACCACCAAGGACCTGGGCAGAGCCCTGGGCACCATGGTCTACGTCTTCAACTGCTCCGAGCAGATGGACTACAAGGTACGCGCCCGCCCGGGGCGCTGGGAGGGCAGGGGGCCTGGGCTGCAGCTGCCCCCCGAGCTGCCAGGGGCTGCACAGGCCTGGAGCCAGGCTGCCAGCTTGCTGCGGCCCACGAGGGCCAGCCGCCGCGCCCCCAGCCCCGCAGCAGTCCTGGCACCTGGTCAGCCGTTGGCCTGCCAGGTGCCTGGAAGAGGGCGCCATGTGCCCTGGTCTGGGCCGGGCCCCCAGGTCCCTCCCTGCCCAGGACAGTGGCCGCCCTGCCTGGGCTGCAAGCTGGCCCTGCATCCCAGGGCCCGGCGGAGCGGGCACCTCCCTGGGCTTCGGTGTGGGCACCAGCCGGGCACGGGAGAGGTCACGGTGGTCATCACAGACCTGGGCGGCGTCTTCTCAGGGCCTGCAGGAGAGAGGAGCCCTCTGGCTCCAGGCCACAGCAGCCTCTGCGGGAAAGGGGGTTCGGGAGCCTGGCCGCAGGGGCTGAGCGGTCCAGGAGGGGCCCGGGGCCCGTGGGGGGTTCATGGGGCTGACCGGCAAATGGCCTCTCCCGGCACCGTGTCCTCCGGGAAGGGCCGCCCGCCGCCCGAAGGCCCCAGCGCCCG